ACATTTTTCATCTTTAATAATTGTGTCATCTAAATGATGTTTAAATTTTAATAGATCAGCAAAAATCTATACAGCAATTTGCATATGAATAGATCCATAGATATCGTTATGGTATGAATGATCAGGCTTCGTTACTGTTTTACATTTAGGTCTTCCGTAGTTTTTAATATGGAATCAATCTATAACTATACTACGAGTGTTCGAAATATTGTGAAGTCTGTTGATTCCAAATTAGGTATGGGACTGATTTGATTCGAAACAAACTCGAACTGATCGTGCAAGTAAAATTAGTAACAGATTCGAGTTTTTTGACAAAATATTTTCCTTAAGACTTATACTACAAAAGATCTTGTTGTGCCAGACAGAACTGGTCGAGATCTTTCCTTGAATGTCAAATTCAATTCTATCCCCAGACGGATTAAATCTCTACATAACGATTTTCAACAGAATTTGGATTTCATGTTTTTAACGGCAATTCATGTAGGGTATAGATTTACTCTTCCTTCACACTCTGGCCCACATCCACTTATCCTTTTTGTTTGGACAATTTATAAAAGTGTATCTATTTTACCAAGTAATCGCTAAAGCTAATCTACAAATAAATTATCTGCCCAAAATGCTAGAATTTGATTCCTGTAGCAATTGTTTCACAAAATTATTGTTTTCGTCTGTGATGAGACTTGCGAAACTCAATGTCATTTCTGCATCAATTAAAACTTAGGATCACTGAACCTCGTATCGCTGCCCGTCATCTTCCTCAAATGAATTAATATTAAAAGTCGATTCAAAATGGATAATTCTAAAGATAACGTTGAATTTTTCTACCATCATTAGAACTAAAAGTCTGCCTACTCAAACACCAACGAGCAAAGTGCGGAGTTTTCTCTATTACCCCTTGAGTTCTTCAGAATAGTTACAGTAACTTCAGCATGATTCATATTTTAAGTCTACAGCGATAGTACTGAACACTTTTTCTTCAATATCTGTTTCTATAAGTTTTCTCTGTTTTAGCATCTATTGTTAGACATAAAATTTCATACGGCTAGAAATTTGATACTATCCTTTTATACTAATGAAATGTTCATCAGAGATAAGAATTCTGAATCATTTGTGTAGACATACTCTGCATCTCACAATAGATTCACTTTGTTATCTCTTTTATTTCTGCGGAAGAACTGGCATAAATAGTACGAAAAGAAAATACTTATATCATAAATTATAACGATGCACAGGGATTCCGTTTCGTTTCAATAATATAACTGAATATCAATGTGATCTAGTAAAACATATTAGGCGTATTTTTATGAACATCGACTTAATAAAAATCAATTATATATTGCACCTTTGGATTAAATTCAATAGACTATATTTCGGTGACTGGGGTTCAATGATAGCTTGTAAGCACGAAGAATCGAAATAATTATCAACCATTGAAGATTTTGTGTTTGAATGCCGAGAAAAACACTTATCTTCGCTTCGACACATAAAACTATAATAAACTGATAGTTATCCATATAAAAAGTCGGATTATAAGAGACTCTTTGTGTTTAAAAAGTGACTATAACAGCACTACTATGATTCAAATTTAATCAGATTGAAAATAATAAAAAAAAACGATTCTAACCGATTATTTAGAAAAATTTATTAAAACTAGGGTTTTTTTTCATTTTAAACCTGATCAAACTTGGATTATAATAGTCTTATTGTAGTTGTTTTTTAATCACAAAATAATCTAATACGATCAGATTTTTTCCAGTTTTTTTTTTACATGGTCTCACTGGGTGTCGCAAATGAATTACATAATGATTCAGCTTTTATTAATTTGTATCAGTAGTCACGGTAAGGTCTTTCAGAGCCTATAGACACTGGACCCTGATAAACACTTATTTGACATATCTCTCGAAATGGTTGCCACAGAATGATAGAAATTTGCAGAGTAGCTCATCAATCAAATTCAACTTTCAAGGTTAAGACTAATTGGTAGACTTTAATAGAACCTTCTAGTCTCTTGAAATAAGTCTCTTATATAAATTATTAAAGTTTTGAATGATTTTATAATTTATATGCGTTATAAACTCACGAGTCTCAATAAGATGCGCACAATAAATCTCACATACGAAATAAAAAAATATGCCTAATAATATACCAAAAAGCAAAAAACAATAGGAAAAAATCGAATTGTTTTTTATTAAGAAATCCGTGCTGTTTTGTATTCATATTTGTAAACAAAAAGCAGCAAAACAAAATATTTCCATAGTTATCCTTATAAAATATTGATATCGAGTTATTACAATAGTATACATATCCTCTTTGTGTACTTCGAAGATTTTTTTTTTTTTCTTGAAAAAATCTAGTTTAATGATATTAGAACATCACAAGAGCTGCACGCTTAATAATATGAGATTCGCGTTCAGTCTGATTGACAAATACTCTTGTTCACACTAAAGTGTAGTCCGAAGAAATAATATGTCTAACTTCGGTCTAGTAAGGATATGACAAATCTTACGTAAAAAGAAAACATATAACTCGCCTACCATATATTGAAATTGAACTGAAATACGGAGATTGATAGTGAGCTTTGAGTAATATAATAAAACGGAAGATTATAATAATGGAAGATGGAAGAAAATAGAATAATTACAAAATAAACTAGTTCATTAATCATTTATTTATTTTGCACTTAAAATACAGTGAAATTTTCAACACTGAAACGATCAGAAAGAAATTGACCGATAATATAAAAAACAATTGTCTTTTTATTTTTTGTTTTCATTCTGTTTTGAACATTGTATTCGGACAAATAATTCCTCTTCTTATTCGTGAAGTGTTTAGAACAGAGGAATGAAAAGAAAAAAAACATGTTTGATATATTATCTATAAATTTCTTTCTTATCATTTTAGTGCTGAAAATGACTTTTTGAAAGACGAATTGAAAGTTTCACTTTATTCTTCGTGCAAAATAAATCAATGATTGATAAATTAGTTTATTTTGTAATTATTTTATTCACTGACATTTCATCGAACAATAATAATATTAAGAAAATAGAAGAAAAATTAAAACAATATCACTAGAAATGATCTATATTAACTATTGGGTAAAAATATTGAGAACAATGCGTGCAGGAATAAACCACTAGTATGAGTCAGAAATAATCTAGAAGAGGAAATGACAAGAGAAGAAAGAAACCAATGACCGGTAATATAAAAGGTAATGGTAGGAGAGACCTCTGCTGACGTTAACAAATAACAACAATACTGAGATAAATTTATGTGTCATTGATACATACGGGTACGTGATTGGTGCGTGCTGTGATTAGCAATATTCACAAGTATATGCTTTTCTTTATTTCACTTTAGACCTTGCTCTATTTGCAGTTTTTGTGTTATTGTTATTACATGTGTAAAATATTTTTTTGCCAATAAAGAATCGATCGATTTCAAATGTCTGCTCATATTTTATTTGTTAATTAAAATAACGTAGCGTTTGTAGAAAAATACAACATAGAGATTAATCGAGTAAAAATAGAAAACTGAAAATAATGATTAAACTTTCAAAAAAATATGTTTTATAAAAGTTAAACAAGAAATAAATATTACATCGTTTTTCTAATGTATTAAATAATTATCTCTCATTCATTAAACGTTATTAACTTGATGAAAGTTGAAGATATTATTATTTTGTATATTCAAAATATCGTACTTGATCTTGTCAATATATTATGTTCACTCTCTTTTCGAAAAATCTAATTTACAAACTAAATTTATCATTTTATACTTATGATTCACATACTTTTCTATACAAGTTTTTCTCGCTGAATATATAATTATTCACTCAAGTTAAAACACATGTAAGAAATGTTTTTTGTTAAAATACACTATCAAAAAAGAAAAACATATAGTAGCTATTTATTTGATGATTTATAAAGTCTTCTGAAAACTTATACACTAACTTCCTAGTGTAAAATGTTTCGATTCAAATCAAAATTATAACTAAAATAAAATCTTCATAAAGGAAACTACTGTACAAGAGAATACTTCAACAGCCCAAATCATCTCAAAATTCATTACCACCTGTAAAAAAAAAAATTTATCAGCATTCCACATTCAACAAAAAAAAATCCGTCATTTTATCATAAAATAACTTTTTCTGAACAATTTATCTTGATAGAATAAAGTATACTACAAAAATTTCAATATCTCAATACCAATATAGATTAGTCAACAGCAGTTTTAGGCTAAATACAGGAAAAATGGCTTATCTTCGAAACCTTGCCTCAACTATGAATTCAACACAAAAGTTTTAGAGCGAATTTCTCATTTCTTCATTTAGTTTCTTTATACATTTTCTAAGAGTACATTTTAATTTCACAGTTAAATTAATATCAAAAGAGTTACTTAATAACAGATCTTTTTCAATATAATCAACTGAAATATTATACATATGAACAACAAAATCAAATATACACGATTCTGCAAACTTGACACCGAGCACTATGAATTGTAAGAAAAATTTATCTGAATTATTAATGTTTCTATGATGTATATAAAATTATTCTCTAAACATAAAAATATTTCAAATACAATTTAATCTGACCACCAATTACAAATTTTCGAAATTGTAAGATTTCGTTTTCTGACTTATACGATTATTTTCACTAAAAAAAAATGACCAAAATTTAGGTATTGTATGTCGAACCGCATCTCAAATGTATGTGCTTTACTTGCAAGAAAGCAGCTATTCACATTATCTGGTTTTTTCATTAAAAAATGATCACCGGGGGAGTAGCGCCGCGAAGATTCCCGTAAGGGCAATATCAAATCTCGTAAAATTTGTCCACTTTAGAAAAATCAATCGAAATATAGGATTTTTCAAAAAAACAAAAAAATAGGAATTATAGGACGAATCAAAGCCCAGGATTTAACATGAATTTGTTTGCTATAATTATTATATTTATAATCATAGAATAATAATACTTGTCTACATGATATTTTAAGTTTAAATGTTTGTTCAATTAATATGTGTTTTGAAATTTAGGTAAAGAATTGGATGATGGTAAAATAGGGAGTCGTAATTTGATTGGTTTATAGTTTCTATATGTGATGAGTAACATTCTTCGATTGATGTGTTTGTTTGGTTTGTTTCTTTCACATGTTCTATTAGATTCTTAACAATGTTCAGCGGAAGAAAGATTGTAAAAACAAAGTACATTTTTTTCATATTTTATTATACGTCATTAGTAAGAAAAATATTGTCATTCGTAATTGAAAAATAACTAAGATTTATTTTTTTTTAGTCTCCTTGAAAAATAATTGATTAGATATTTACAGTTATTACTATTATAAGGAAATTTCTATAGATTTCGATATTAAATTCTGTTTGACAAACTTTCTAAGTTCATATTATTTTTCTTTTTTAGATTTATATTTTATTGTGTGTCAATACAGCACATTAAATTAATAAAACAAGGTAAATCATATATTTAGAATTATAATTATACATATAAATATTTTTGAAAATATATATTTGAAAGAAGTTTATCTTTAGAAAAAAAAAATGAAAAATTTGTAAGTATTTATATAATAATAAATTTTAGTTCGATATATATTTTAAAAGATATTTTTCAACAAAACAAAAACTTAATGTCTTTTGTACTTATTTAGTCTTATTGATCATTGTTTGCTATACATCTTTTGTCATTGTTGTGTTGTCTGTTCGATTATATAATATATATATTTGATTGAATTCAATGAACAATCAGCAAATAATTTAAGAATATCAAAGACAAACAATTATTTATTCAAATAGAAACAATAAAATTTATCATTTTTATTTAGTATTCATTTATTACCAATGACAGACTTAAGTTCAATTTTTGCGGCAACAGTTCGAATATTTTCACAAGCTCTTATGATTGTAAGTTTCATTGATGAACTATATATTAAATATAAATGTATTTAATCATTGAGAATATTAACAGTTTTAATAAAAAAAAACAAAAAGCGTGTGTAAAATGATTTTTTCGATTTGGTACGAATAAGTGTTTCAATAAATACTCAGGATAATAAGCAAGATCATTTATGACAACTATAGAAGTACCTATGTTACTAATAGACCGAACTTACTAGATATATCGCCTAGATCAATAGAAAAATAGCTACCGGGACTATAAAAAAAAGAACATTATTTCGATATGAAATTTGGTCTATAAATGTATTGAATGACGAATAGAATCATTTGTCGAAATATTCCATTTTTAAAAGAAAAGCTTTTTTTTTTTCGATTGAAGCTTTTCAAATCCCTCTGTACAAAATTTTACATAGAAATGCTCTTTTTTTTGCTATTCTTCGATGTATACCTAAAACTGAATCGACAATTCAGTAAAACGATCATTACTTGGTCTCCAAACTATTCCTTTTAAACTTTTGCTAATCTAACCAATGCATCATAATATGAGCTCAGAGTTGCGTGCGGATACCAGTTCGGATGATTCTCTCGTTAGAAGTAGAGAGTCATTTCGAAAAAAAAAAGTTTGAAATTTTCAAAGCAAATAGATCTTGATAAGTACAACAAAAATTATCATAGACTTAAAGATCATAATAGGGAAAAATTAACCTTCCGTCTGTTCGAGATACTATGTTTCATTGAAGTGGAAATCTTTTTTTATAGATGCTACACATTGTTCGAAGTAGCTAACTTTTTTTTCTCATTAGAAAGTAAGACAGTGGATAGTATATGTAAAAACTGTTCCAACTCAACCGGCTCACCAAGGACGTTTCTCAAATTTTTTTAATGAAAAAGTTGGTTTAAGAGAGACACGAAAAAATGTGTAGTTTTTTCGCAAATTTAATTTCGTAATGTTGTACTCAGTAGATATATAAAATCTTACGAGGGAACGTTCCCAAGTGATTAAAAGCTTTTGAGCTCATATGTTGCCCATTAGGTAGGGGACCACTAGATTAGAGAAACCTCCAAAGGATTCGTGCCCATATTGAGATTTGACAGAGATATTGAATTTTTAGTGGATTTTTCCTGATGGACTCTAGCTCTGCAGCAAAATCATATTTTCGAATTTCGACCTGAAACTTTGCCCACATGAAGGCCTCGATCAGAGTAGCTTGTATAAAAAATTTCAGAATTTTGGGACATTGCATCTCCAAGATATCAATCTTTCAAAGTATCCATGTTATCTATAGAAGTGCCTATATTTTCAAAAATTGATACCTTCGAAATGCAATGTCCAAAAATTCTGAAATTTTCTATATAAGCTACTTTAATCGAAGCCTTCATTTGGGCAAAGTTTCAGATCGAAATTCGAAAATATGATTTTGCTGTAGAACTAGGGTCCAGCAGGAAAAATCCACTAAAAATTCGATATCTCTGTCAAATCTCAATATGGGCACGAATCCTTTGGAGGTTTCTCTAATCTAGTGGTTCCCTACCTATTGGGCAACATATGAGCTCAAAAGCTTTTAATCACTTGGGAACGTTCCCTCATTAGATTATACAATAGCTACAAAATTTTGGGTCCTGAAAAGAAGAACCCTCTTATAAACTATTTAATTAATATGTTTTATTTTTGAGCTATGAAACTGAAGAAAAAAAAACTTCATATATCTATTCATTAGAAGGACGATTATTTATCTTTATGGATATTTCATATTAAATTTTTAGTTTGGTGGTATTGTTCCATATATACCTCAATATTTAATAATTCAACGTTCTCAAAATGCTGAAGGTTTTTCTAATTATGTATGTCTTACATTACTTATTGCTAATATTATACGTATTGAATTTTGGTTTGGTAAACATTTTGAAATTCCATTACTTGTACAATCAATTGTAATGATAATATGTATGCTTATTATGCTTGAACTTTGTATACGTGTTTATTCAAAATCTTTATGTCATCATTTACCTGTTAATCAACTTAATATGTCTCATACAAAAGAATTAACATTAGATATACATGAAAAAAAATTTACTGATTTTGAAATGAATTATTTTTGGAAATGGACAACGTATGATAAATGATGAAAATTAGAAAATAAAATTTTATTATTTTTTTTTTTATATAGATTTACAAGTTATCTTCAATTTTTATTTGTATTTATTTTTGTTTTAAGTGAGATAATGTTTTTGGATTTTTCAAAAGAATATTTTTGATTTATTGAATATTTAAGGTACAACAACATGGTTACTTCTTGATAATATACTTTATATTGAAACAATTGGATTTCTAGCTGTATTTTTCGAAGCTCTATTAGGTACACCACAATTTATGCGTAATTTTCGATTAAAATCAACGGAAGGAATGAGTGTAAAAATGGTGAATATTTGTTTTGTCGGAGAGAGAGAGAAATTTTGAATATAATTTTTTTATTTTTAAAGGTTCTTATGTGGACATCAGGTGATATATTTAAAACTGTTTATTTCATTTTACGAAGTGCACCAAAACAATTTTGGCTTTGTGGAATGTTACAAATTAGTATTGATATAGCTATACTTTGTCAAGTTGTTTTTTATTCTGAAAAATATCGATTTCGTAGACGTTAAAGAAAAAAAATAATAATAACTATGCAAAATATTTTATTTGTGTTTTTCTTTTTTTTTGAAACAATCTCGCATGAATCATTATTTTTAAATAAGTACTTTATTATTCGGAATAGTCAAACTGAAAAAAAGAAAATGATAGAAATGATTGTTGTTTTTGTTTGTATGTTCGAACTAAAACTCAAAAAAACAAATATATTTAAAATTTAATCAATTTGTTCTAGAATTTTATTATTAATATTAATCTACATTTGACTGTGTTTAGCAGAATTCTGTTGGTTGACAAGATTTATGATACGAAACTTTATTGTTTTTTTTTTGTGTGAGTTACAATCTATAATATAAAGGTTAGGCTATTCGTCGCTGTAAATTTTAACTTATTATGACAGAAACATTATCATTAGAAGAAGCTTTAATTAACATGCATTGAAAATATTCTGATTATACGTAGTATTAACAAGTCTTACTAATCAAAATGTCATTGAAAGAAGAAGTAATTTGAAGGCATGAGATTCAAAATTAAGAATACTAACAATGATTGATTCTTGATTCGATCGTACTCAAATACTACCAACGACAAGAACACTGCCCATCGTATTTTTGATGTAACTCTTGATAGAAACGAGATAGAGAGCTGCGGTTTTTACCGTTAGAAAGAGAAGATAAAGACGCATTAAATCATATGTTACAGACATTTGAACCTGGTTTTTCTAAGGTTTTTAATTGAGCTTTTTTTGTACAACAATGTTCTTGGTAGGTGACTACAGTGAATTTTCAATTATCTGATGTGCATTGAAAGCGCCAATTGAAAATCTATAAAACTGTAGAAGGCACAGATTCTTAGCTTTAAGAGTTATAAATATTCTACTCGAAACTATAAGCCGATTTTTCTAGCAATTCCTGTGAAAAAAGCACTTGTTTCTTTTTTTGTTCTTTTTGATAAAAACTATTTTTTTTAGATAATTGGTTTAAAAAGTCTCAGAAAACATATATAAAAAACCTGTAATATATGTTTCGATGCGTCTTCATTTCCTCTGTTCAACGGTGAAAACTGCAGCTCTCCATCAAAAGTTACATCAAAAATACGATGAACAGTGATTTTATCGTTAGTAGATAGGTTGGCTTAAATGAATTTCGATTCAGATCGAAAGACGTACAGAGTTTACATTTTGAGATATAAGAACCAGAAATTCTATAAAAATTTGGTGGACTTCCTACTACTTAGCAGCATGTATTTTCAATAAAACGTAGTGCTCAGCAAGTTGGCATAGTACTGGATAGTCTGTTTTGATCCCATTAGGCGTAATGTAGTCTTTTGAGATAATTGTTACTTGTATATTTAATGAACATGTATACCGCTGAGCACTAAGGATTGTTCATTGAAATAAGGCTTTTTATTAAGACTAATGAGAGAAATTTGAGTTCAGGTCGAAAAATTTTTAGATCAAAATTTTGACCTTCGAATAGATCAAGAATGGATTGATGTTTAAAAAAAAATCAATTATCATTCAATAAAGATAAGCAGAAGTATTATAAACTTGTATCATTTATTGATTATAATTCAATGGTAAATGACTGTTGACATCGAAAGATTTTGTTATAGAACGATATATATTTGTTTTTTTTAGAGTGTATCCGTATTTTAATTGAGTAGAACTTATAGTATTACATTATTTATTACTCTCTTTATATAAAAACAAATTTTTACATATTCTGAATACAAAATTTTGAATTAGCTACAATATATAAATATATTTAATCGAAATATATATGTCAAAAAAAAAATGATCTATTTCTTTGTTTAATTGTACTCATAAGATTTAAACGAAGAAGTATTAAAGTAACATTATTGAAGATGAAAAAAACTGTCATTGTTTCATCACCAGGTAAATTAATTATTGGTGGTGAACATGCAGTTGTTTATGGTCGTCGAGCTTTAGTAACAAGTATTGGTATGCGTTTATATATGCAATTAACAGAAGAAGAAGAACAAGTACAAGACAATATAACTAATACTACACGATTATTAAAAATATTATTTCATGATACAAATCAACATTATTCAATTAATTTATTAGATATACATAATTCATATCCAATTGAAATTCAAGCTATATTATATGTTTATAAACATTTTAAATCTTTTATATCTGATCAAAGTCAATTGAATATTGAAGTACGTTCTGAAATTCCTATTGGTGCTGGTCTTGGTTCAAGTGCTGCATTTAGTGTTTGTCTTGTTGGTTGTTTTTATCTTCTTTATTATAAAAAATTAAATAAAGAAGATATAAATGAATTATCATATAAAGTTGAATGTATTTTTCATGGAACACCATCTGGTATTGATAATACAATAAGTACATATGGACAATCACTTATTTATAGTCGAACATTAAAAAAACATATTAATTTTCATTTATTAAATTTAGCTATTATTGATACAGGTATACCAAAATCAACAAAAAAAATGGTTGATTTAGTACGTTTATTTATTGAAAATAATCAAAAAGATGGAGAAAATATTTTAAATAATATTGAATTATGTGTTGATAAAATGATTGAACATCCAGAACAAATAAATCAATTATTTCAACAAAATCAACAATTACTTAAATATTTAGGTGTATCAACATTAGAAATTGATAATATTATACAAATATTAGCTAATAAAAATATTTCAGCAAAAATTACAGGTGCTGGTGGTGGAGGTTGTCTTATTGCATTAACATTGAATTTTACAAAAGATCAAATTTTTAATTTATTAAAAGATAATCATATTAAATCAATTTATTTTGTTGAATGTGGTGTTGAAGGTTTACGAGAAGAACAAACATTTTAAATTTTGTTTTAATTTTTTTTAATACATTCATTAAAAAATAACTAATTTAATTTAATTGTCCATCTTTAGAGAGATTAGGACTATGTTCTATATGGTAAAAAAGAAAATGTCTTTTACAGAACTGAAAAAGATTCTTCGTATGAATTAAAACTCAGAATCTTTCTTCGATTTTGATACGAAATCCAAAAAAAAAGTCCTGAGTTTATTTTCATGCGAAGAACATTTGTAGGTTTAGTAATAGAAATTGTATTTAGAATATACAATCGTCGGAAAAATCCAAGTAATATAATCTCTATAATAGTAATTATTATATTTTCTTTGTTCTAAGGATAGGATAGCTATCGATCAAACCGACTTTTATTTATACCACAAATCATAAGAGAATGAAGGAAAAAAAAATTTTTATATACTACATTGTATTTTTCTTTCATCATAATTATATACGCAAATTACTCTGACTCTCTTTTACCTATTAATAACCATATCGATACTCTTAATCACGTACACTTCCTTTCTCCATAGAATACATAAGAAAAAAGAAAAATATATAGTATGTCTCGCAAATCTAAATTAGGAGATATAATACGTTTAACAAGTGATTCTGAAAATCCTGAACAATCTAATTCATCAACATCTAGTAAAGATCCATATATTCTTTCTATTGACATTGGTACATCATCAATTCGTGCTTATTTATTTTCAAAATCATTTCAAATTATATCATCAAGTCAAAAATCACAAACAATTCATTGTCCTGAACCACATGCATTTGAACTTGAACCTGAAGAATTATGGTCGAAATTTCTTGATGTTATAAATGAAACAATTAAACATGCTTATCCATTAACAATCAATGATGTAGCTTGTTTAGGTATATCAACATTAAGAAATTCTGTTATATTATGGGATAATAAAACAGGTGAAACATATTCAAATATTATTTTATGGAATGATTCACGATCAAGTTTACAAACTCAAACAACAAATTCATCATTAACATGGAAAACAATACGTCATGCATCAAAAATAATCTATCCATTTATTCATACAGCACGTATATCAACATTATCAAATCTTGAATTTCGTACACAAATGATTGCATTTAAATTATTATGGTTATTTGAAACAAAACCACATTTAGTACAATATGCACGTGAAAATCGTTTATTATTTGGTTGTATTGAAACATGGATTATATGGAAATTAACTGGTGGTAAAAAACATGTTACTGATGTATCATGTGCAAGCTCAACAGGACTTTATGATCCATTTCAATCACAATGGTCATCATTACTTTGTAAAAATTTAGGTATTTCAATGGGATTATTACCAAAAATTAAACATACTTTTGGTGAATTTGGAAAATGTGATCCGAGCTTTTTCGGTAAGTGATGAATATTCATTGAGTTGAATAAATTTTATGTTCTACAATTAGTTTGATGATAGCCTTTGAAATTTGAAGGATCACATTTTTGTTTTTCGGTGTTTCGAATCGTAATGAAATTCAAATGAATTTTCTTAACTATTAGAGTTACATATGGTTTATTCTAGTATGATAATAACGAACTAGAAAAGTACCGTTATGATTACTTTCAGCAAAGATGTAAATTACACTACTTTATATATAACACAGACTTATATAAGAAAGAAAGATAAGCAAAAAACAAAAGAAGAATGCAAAGAAATGAGTCATGATTGTGTCATCTAGTTCTTTTTTTTAGATAAGGACTTAATTGTAACATAGTTATATTCAATATTTTACCGAAATATTTCAGGATCGAAGAATGAATATGAATATGTGTATTTACGAAAAAATTCTTCACAAAATACTCTGAAAAATACTGACTAATAGCTTTCAAATATGACTACGAGAAATCCTCTTAGATATTCTAAACAACCGATTTTTGAAACTAAAACATATTGAATTGTCTAGAAAGTAGTAATATTTTTGTTTTCAAAAAACACAGTTATTTTAATTCATACAAACGATAAATGTCATGTGAAAATCTTCAATATGAATACTATAGATCTAAAAAATTTTTGTTACAATATTTTGTGAATTACATCTGAAAAGAGTACAATCAAATATAATAAATTAATATAAATGAACTTTATCAAGATGGACAAATAAGCGTTCAGAGGTCCAAACAGGCCACGTTTTTTA